TTTTTCCCCATTTGGGGGGAGGGAGTTTTTTGACCCCGGCCAAACTTGTTTTTTTGGCCCCCCTTTGTGTTTCCCCCCAAAAAAAAAAAGGGGGAAAAAAAAAAAACGGTTAACTTGTTGGCGGATTTCGGAAAGTAATTTGGTTTTTTTTAAAAGTTGTTTCCCAAGGAAAAAAACCCCAAACCCCGAATGGCACCCCCGGGGGGGGGGCGGTTTTTTTTAAAACGTGGTTGCCAAGGGAGGAAACCCCACCCCGGAGGGCAACCCCCGGGGGGGGGGGGGGGTATCAGATATGCAACACCTGAGAGCATCCAGGACATGCAGTACCAAACGGAGTACGAGGATGCCAAAACCCAGGAGGAAACGCGGAGTGAAAAACAACACAAGACACGAGGGCTGCCCTTGGCGAGGATTTTATCATAAATCTATGAAATACAGAAGGGGGATTCGTACCCCTATCCCTATCCCTACCCCCCAACCCAACCCCGTAACCCCTACTACAACAAAGTAAATATATATCCTCGTGAGGGCTACTAGGCACGAGCATCCCCTGGCCAACTGACAAAGGTCCGGAAAAGCACTGGGAGGTGTCGGACTTAGTACCTAACCCGAATCATGTCAAAGGTTCCAGAAAGGGTGGGGAACATCCGACTTCCACCAGTACCCCAACCCGCCGTGCGTCGCGCTACGCCGCAAGGGGTTGGGCGTGGTACAAGAGAGACCCCACAGAACCACAGGGGCAAAAACGAATACAAGCACAGCACCCCCGTGATCACGTCCTAGGCACATGGAGGAGACAAAGGCAGACGTACGGAGGAGGTCACCAAGGCCGACGACCCAGCCGACACACGTACCCACTGGCCCCGAGGCCTAACAACCAAGCCACGAACGAATGCACAACCCAAACAAGAACGATTTTCGTTCGCAATAATACCCCAGCCTACACCAGAAAAAAAAAAAAAGGACCATGCGGGTTTTCCGCGTCTTGCTTGCCAGGCGGACCGGTAATACCGACGAGGGGGAATTGTCCCATGGAGTTGGCACAACAACAACAACAACAACAATTTAACGACATGTTACCTGAATGATCTGAAACTTGGGGATGTGCACCATGATGGACGTGATCTGGCCGCAGTTGTCGCACTGGAACGACTTTGACACGGCCGACCCGAACGGGCTCGTGGCGCGGTAGTGCACCTGAGTGAGGAATATTAGCAAGCATGGCCAGGAATAACGGTGAGGGGCGAGGTATATTGGTGGGTAGGGCGGGGAGAATAACAAAAATCTTTGTACTGTACGTGTGTATGAGAGAGATCTCTCCGAAAACCTCCAATCCGGACCGGACTTCAAGCGGCACGAAAAACAGCAAGTTGCTGCGACGGATACTCGACAGGACACGAATACAGGACACGAACAAAGAAATTGTCAATCCCGACCAGGCGAACGGACAGGCAAATGGACGTTGAAGAACTAAGAGGGGATCGGGAGGGCAGGGGGCCCAAGGTATTGTCAACAACAACAACAACAGCAACAACGGTAACAACGGCAGCAGACCTTGGAGTGTGGCGCTGTTCTCTTCTTGGCTCGTTTTCTTGCTGCCGCCGCATCCGTCTCCGCCAACGGCTCAGAGTAGTCCACCTGCGATGCCCGAGAGCGACACAACGTCATCAAACACGTACAAATTGCGCGTGCGACAAGGGGCGAAACGTGGTGAAGCGCATGTACAAAGAGCAAGGCGGGGGTGAAGGGTTACACGCGGCTACTGCTTGCCTCGGTCAATTTGGCGAAGACTTCGAACCATTGACTACAGACTCGCATGCCCTCCAAGGCGTTTTACTGTTGTATCGTTCCTACTCTCCTAAGAGACACAACCAGCACCTGGACGTTCTCTTTGCGTTTTCCGCCGTGCGCTCCACTGGTGGTCAATAATCATTGTGCTGAGGTTCATTGGGTCGCTTTGTACGCAATCATTGTCTCGAACCACAGCTAGTTGGTACTGCATTAACCAAGCCCTCAACGCAGTAACATTGCAACAATACTGCGTCAACTCCGAATCTGAAAGTTAAAGGTTCCTCTCTGGAATCAAAGAGGAAAAAAAAAAAAAGACTTGAGAAAATGCGCACGCACGCGCACCTCCGAATCTGAGAAGTTCTTGGCCCACTGCTCCTCGAAAAACTGGCGCTCCTCGCTTGGCTGTCTTGGTCGCTTGCCCGCCGTCTCTCTCCATAGCCGCTGGGTCGACAACGACTCCTGGGAAGCAAAGCACAGGCAGTAGTCAACACAAGGAATCCCATCAGACGCACAACAAGCGGCTGGAGAACCACGCACTTTTTTATTTTTTCGTGACTTTGAAATCAGAGCGCTCACAGGGTTTCTGCGGCGGGGTAGGAGCTCCAAATCCGTGGTCACACAGAAGGAAATTTCTTCTCCTGAGGCCTCCTGCCCACCCCTCCTACGCAATGCGTGACAAAATCAACCAGAGAAACAAACTACCATGTACCACAATGTTGGAAAAAAAATCACGATTAAGAAAGGCGGGAAAGAAACTCAAGCAAAAAAAACAGATCCCCATGACCAAGAAACGAACACAAGAACTTCAAAGCTTGGTGTGCGAGTAGGTGACTCTGCGGGAGGCTACCTTGATGGCCTCCCCTCAAAAGGCGCGCGAGGAAAGAAGCAAAATCTGCAGAAAGCAAGCTGGCACAAGACGACTCCCGAGCGAAACAGCAGGACACGACATGAGCGTCGCAAGCCGCCACACACCACGCCAAACCGCAAAACGGAACGACGAACGCTGCTGCTCCCTAACCAACGCGGCACGTTGCACAGAGCAACGCGTCACACAAAACACGCAATAAGAAGCCACACAGACGTACTACTGTACCAACACGCCGAGCAACGACAAGCCGCCCCCCTCACCGTCAAAATGTAAGGAGGCGTCGCCTTCGTCACCGGCGGAGCGTCAGGGGCCGGGCCCCCTCCCTCCCCGCCTGCGGGATCCTCGATCTCGTCGAACCAACCCCACGGTTCACCGTCGCTCATCTGCCTGTTTTCGCAAGAGGTTCGTTCACATCAGCAACACGGCAAACATCATCGCGGGATTAGCACCGGATTATAAAGGGATCTTCGGGACAGCAGTTGAGCCAAAAGCGTGCTCCAAGACCAACTACCTTCCTTCCAACACCACCACCACCACCACCTGCAACAACAACAAATATGCCAGCACTTGACAACAGCATGCCAAACAAAAGAACCAGATCGACATGGCACCACGCACGCAACACACCCGCTGGATCCGACCCGTGGTAAGACCTCCGAGGAAGACCCGCTCGAGCCCAGAGAGCCGTTGAGAGAGCTGTTGCTGCTGCCAGCTCGGGCGAAGGAGAGTTCCGAGTCTCGAGCATTGGCAGCCTCCTCCTCTTGAAACCTGCCGCTCGAAAATATTCTCGAACTGCCGGGCGCGCGGGGGGGGGGGGGGGGGGGGGGG